CTTTGTTTGGCCCTCACCCGACCCAGGGCTGTGAAAAGCTTGGCGGTAGGTAGGTCGGGGCTTTTTAATACTGGTTTTGAGCTCATCTTGACATAGTCAGATTGCAGCCGTTGCCTGTAAGATCGCACAATTCCGTCCGTCCGCTCCTTGCCGTCCTCGCTCCGTGCCGTCGCCGTTCCGTTGCCGTGCGTGGTCGTCAACAGTTGGCACAAATCTTAATCACGCATCGCGTCACGGGTCACGATATTCGGGCACATCGGGGCGCGGTTCGTCAAAACGAGTTGGGATGTCGGAATGCTCGTGGGGTCAACAGGTCCAAGAGGTCAAGAGGTGTAAAAGAAGGGAACATTCACTCCATTAACCTTAAGGTATACGGGAGGAAATCGCAGAATTGCGGCACAAATTAAAACGGCTCCGACCTCAGCTCGTGATAGTCGGTGTATAGCATCATGGTAGGAAAAGCCATCACTGGGCGGAAATTGCGAGAGGTGAAGGTCAAACGATCATCGGGCACTAGGCAGATTTTTAAAACATTTTTCTGGAGGACATCTGGTCTGACGGTACAGCGATTGAAAAACTTTTTTGTGTTCAGCGGTGACCTTAGCATTTTTATGGCTTTATTGAAAGGACCCATGAAAAGTCCTTCTGCTGACATGCGCAAGAGTAAGTGTCGGAATAACCTTTTGACCCTCAGAGGAGGGTAACATGGATTTGGTTTACTGTCTGGTTAGAAAGAATTTGACTGCCGGTTTGCCTAGTAGAATGCGTATACATGCCTGGATTGTACCGAGCGCTACAATGTCACAGGTGAAATTTCAAAAGCTACAATTGTTGAAGAAGGTTTATGCTCTTAAATTCCTACTAATTTCATATGCATCTGTACTGTCAGTTATTTTACAGTACGTATGCCACTGCCAGTGGCCACTGGCAGTGCATGGATGGTGGCCTGTTTAGTTTTTTGCCTGCCGTTAATTCGTTACAGCTGGCAGCTTTCTGCTATTGGCAGGCTTAGGCGTTGCGTTAGGTAAATGGATGAGTGCCTTACTATTCTGTACTTGCAAATAGTTGTTGCTACTCACGTACGAGGACAGCTTCCATCTTTTAATCTGAAGACATCTTAAACGTACCGCGCTACGATCTCGTGGAAACTTTCAGTAACGATCCCAACGAACTTCCTTTTGAGAAGGTTCCTAGATATCCATCCTGTGCATTCACTGTTTCGGCGTGATATGTGAACACATTTTGCGCGACTAACAGGGTTTACTAGAATCCCACCAGCTCCACCACAGATCACCGCAGTAGACGTTTAGAGTGAGCGCTGTCGTCTCGCCACTTTGTTTTTTAGGGCGGGTGGATCTTTTACAAATCGTCGTGGTGTCTACATGCTCGGGTTTGTGGCTTTGTGTAGAGATACCTTTTATGTTGAAGTTTCTTTTGCTTGGTACATATAATGTATTGGCCTATCAGATTTATATAGATGTACAGTGATGCAATTTATTTTTAAAAGAAGAGAAAGAAAAAAAGAATCAAAAACAGATTTGTTGAGTCGGCCCCTTTTTAGCGGGTCGGTCGGGTAGGGCCATACAAACAATATTTTTATTATGGCCTCGTGGATCTAAATTTCTGTGACTACACATCCTGCTGATACTAATCGCAGTCGATTTCACGCAGGCATCGTCGTCGATGAGCTGCCTTCTGCGCGCTGAACCTGCTGAAGACACAGTTCGAATCAGAACTTCTTTCAAGGAGGCGAAGCTTCATACAGCGACTGACGCCATGACCTTCCAGCGGAGGGCGAAGGATAGCAAGGCTGGATGGTCCGCACAGAAGGTCACAACCGTGCACCTGAATGCATACAGGTAAGTAGTGTCTCTCTCTCTCTCTATCTCTGGTCTGTCTGTCTGTCTGTCTGTCTGTCATAGTCTGTCTGTCTGTCTGTCTGTCTTGTCCTCCTCTTCGCTAGCTACTCTCCGTCTCTCTCTCTTCTCGTCTCTCTCTCATCATCTCTCTCTACGTCGACTCATCTCTCTTCCTGGCTGTTTTTTTTATTGTGGCCCGATGCCTGGTGAACATGACACGATAAGCCATCAAATACCAGCATGCGTAGCAAGAGCAGCAATATCGACCACAGTGCCTCGATCGTGAGTCGTAAATGTGACACTATTAACCATTGGGCAGCAGCAGAACGCAGTCTTCGACGATGACGCCTAGCGAACGCTAACGTGTGATTAGCAATCGAGTATCAGCCCATCCTCCTGCAGAGATGCCAACACATATTTGAAGCAAGCTGTAATTTCTGGCCATCAAATTAGTAGTTCGAGGGTCACGTAGTGACCCGAGTTTGCTAGGGGGTCCGGCATGCCCCCCGGAAGGTTTTTTGATTCTGAGATGCAATTTCCTGCATTCTGAGGGTCAAAAATGACAATAAATCAACAAAAAATGACAAAAAAAAGATTTTTTTGGATCACAGTGAAATTCGTAGTTTGATACAAACTGGTCGTAGTGGTGCAAAAGGAATCGAAATTCGTATAAAATACGAATAAATAAAATACGGAGTGGCTGGCATCTCTGCTCCTGGCATGACTAACAGGTAGTGCTAGCCAATCACTCTTGCTCGGTGTGTTTCGTTATCACATCCGGTGAATGTAATACGATTGGTATCAGCATGTGTAGCGCATGGGGATGCTTTGTGAACGTAACAAGATTTGCCATCAAATATCAGGCATGCATACTGCAGACACTTAGACCACAATGCCTGGTAAATGTAACAGGATTGGCCTATTTGTCTGGCATTGTTCATTGATTGACGATTGATAGGTATCTCTAGCTAATCGCTGTTGTGATAGGACTTTCTAGAAACAATGCTTAGCCACTGTCAACGATTTGGCTCGCATGCAAGAAAAACGTGTATAAACCAGTCTAGCTTGACCGACCTAGGGGAAAGAGGAAGACACGAAGAGAGAAAAACGGGAAGAGAGAAAGACAGAGATGAAGAGAAAGAAAGGGAGAAAGTAAAAGAGGAAGAGATGAAGAGGAAAAGAAGGAGAGAGGAAAACAGAATGAAAGAAAGCGAGGAAAAGAGGAAGAGAGAAAGATAGAAAAAGAGGTGACGAGAGGAAGAGAGAAAAAGAGGACGAGAGGAAGAGAGGTAGAGAGAAAGAGAGGAAGAGAGCGGAAGACAGGAAGAGTAAAAGAGGAGAGGGAAAGAACAGAGGAAGCCACTCACCTCCGTCGCTATTGCCCTCCTCAGACACTATCTGCAGCAGTCTGTCGAACGCATTCTCAAACGCAACAATCTTCTGTATGTTCGCATGTCCCTTGGTGAGCTTTTGCAACAGCAGCAGCGTCTGCAATCGAAATCATCATCGTCACCGTCATTGTTGTCACGATCAACATATCATCATCGTTAGTGTCATTGTCATTGTCACCGCCACTGTTATCGTCATCATCACCATCAATCATCGTCATTCTTATTGTCACGGTGGTCACCATTGTCACCTCTACTCGTAAATAAATACATACACATACGTACGAGCGATGTTTAGAACGACTAAATAGTTCATTGGAAAAAATCGTCTTAACCAACTTGTGCACTGGAAAAGCTGCACAATTGCTTTCGATTTTTACGGCGGAAGACGTTGTAAAAAAAGGTTGTAAAATGCGGAAGAGAGTCAACGCCGATGCTGCCGCCGCGATCAGAGCGTTGACGCTGCTGCCGCCGCCGCCACTCACATCGTTTCGGATCACCTCCCGGCTATCGGAGAGCAAGTCCATCAGCTTGGACACGCCCATCGGGTTCGTGAGGATCTGCTCCTGTATGTCCTTGACCCTGCCGACAAAAAACACACAAGAACGTCACTCGTCTGTGACAAAAACACAAGGACAGCTCTTTGACAAAATACAAAGGAATCACTTTTCAGTAAAACATATACAAGGGACGTCACATTTCAATAAAGTACAAGGATATCACTTTTCAACAAGACACAACGACATCACTCTTTAGTAAAACACAATGACATCACTCTTTAGTAAAACACAATGACATCACTCTTCAGTAAAACACTAGAACATCACTCTTTAGTAAAACACAATGACATCACTACTTGTCAAAAAGCACAAAGTGCAATCATTCTCAACTGGTGCTCCTAAAAAAACTGCCTTCCCACACAAACGCATACATTCCTTCAATCGAATTCGCAATTCTTTTCCAAGTTCCCGTGGAGTTTGATCGCTGATGATCGATTAATTTTGGCAGTGGACATCAGGGGGAGCCACTCACCTGTTGGACAGCAGTGCGGTCATCAGCTTTACCGTCGGCCATCGCACGTGGAAGTCGTACTCCTAGTAAGGCAAGCGTATATCGCGCTAGCGTGAGACACACAGACCGCACGATTTCTACATGTATATATTATTATGTTCGTTATACGTCCGGACGTACGTTACACGTTAACAATGTACGACATGTTGCTACGGGTTACGTGCGTACAACGATAAATTTATATAACGTCCGTAATACATATATATATATATGTATATATGTGTAGCGAAGGTTGCATAGAAAAAGGGTAGAAGTGGAACAGAAGAAATGGAAGGGAAGAAGAGGAGGGAAAGAAGAGGAAGGGAAGAAGATGAAAGAAAGAGGGAGGGAAGAAGAAGAAGGGTAGAAGAGGAAAAGTAGAACAGAAAAAGAAGAATAGGGGAAAAAGAGGAAGGGGCGAGAGACGCAGAAGAAGCAGACGCGGAGGCGGGAGGCACGTCGTCGCCGCGGCAACGTACTCACGTCGAGCAGGTCGAGCACGAGGGACACGTTGTCGCAGTTCTTGATGAAGATCTCCGTGAACTGGTCGGCGAGGGCGCCGGCGTCGGCCGCGCTCTCCGTCGTCTCCTCTGTGCAACACGGGGGAGGAAGACAATCAATAGAGACAATGACAATATCAGTATATGAGGAAGACACAATGAATAGAGACAATGAGTATATCAGCATATGAGGAAAAGAGACAATGAGTATATCAGCACATAACGCGTGAGTATATCACCACGCAATGCACACGTATATGAGACAAGAACGTGCACCTATGTCAACACACAACGCACTAGTATATCAGCACAGAACGTGCGCCTATGTCAACACACAACGCACTAGTATATCAGCACAGAACGTGTATATATGTCACAACACAAGTGACAATGCGTGCATATATCAGCACGCAACGCACACATATATATCAGCACGCGACACACGCACGGCAGACGCACACACGCACAGCAGACGCACACACGCACAGCAGACGCACACACGCACAGCAGACGCACACACGTACAGCGGCCTGCGTACCTTCGTCGCCCGTCTCCTGTGAAACGACGTTGACGAGCGTGTCTACGGCATATCCGACCGTCTCCGTGTCCGAGCGATCCGTCTGCAGCACCTCGACGAGCGCCGCCATCGCCTGCGCCCCCACCTCCAGCTTGAACTTCTGCGGATAAAAAAAACAGGGTTACAGGGTGCGAAATTAACAGGAGTCCGGAGTCAAATACTCCCTGATTTACTGTCGGACTCCCTGATTTTACATATGCAGGAGTCCGTGTGACTCCCTGAAAATTCTGCCATACTATACTAACTAGTTCGTTCCAGAGCACGGCCTCGTGGAGTTACCGTATTTTTTCAGCAAATGTCCAAAGAAAATTTGGCAGACGTGCAACCGCATAAATCTTCAAAATAAGCACGTGTTATTGTTAATATCTTTAATTTTGAACCTCATTTTGCTGCGGACTCCCTCTTTTTGAGGGTAGGGAGTCCGTGGACTCCCTTGTTCAAAAGTTAATTTCTACCCCTGCTACAGTAACAGCTAACGTGTTTCTACCCCTGGGTTTAGCGGTGAAGGTGGAGTCGTCCCATCGAGAAATGGTACAAGTTGTACGATCGTTGCTACAATCATGTCAATTCGTATCCTTTACCGATAAAATGGGCTTTATTGTCGCTTTCCTGCTGGAAAGGGACGAGGAACAAACGCAGCAGAACTGCTTGTTGTAACAGGACATGCTCCGATTTGTCGAAATTCCATTAAATTAGATCTGTGGTTCCCGGATCCCATTGGATATCTCAGTGATGTGATATGTAACGAACGTTCTCTAAGGATGTGGTGGTCTGTCGTGCGTAAGTTGATACTCCTGTCGCAGTTTGGCACTTGCCTTCGATAATGCTTTCAGTGCTCTCACGGCGTCCCGTCTGTCATCTAGGAGTGTGGACGTCTGCACCCGATCGACCAGTCGCTCCACCTGTTGGCAAAAATAATCAACTTTGTTCAACCACAAAAATTGTTCAACCACAATCAAAGCACATAGCACGCACTACAACCAAAGCACATAGTGTGCGCTAGTGGGGTAATCGTAAACATATTTGTTTGATATGATGTTTAATTTTACTTTTACTGCGGTTTCAATACGACATAATCGCAACACGGTACGGTAAACCGTAAAGTAATTAGAGGGGTATAAAAAATAATAATCAGGGGGAGGAAAGCATGCCAACCAAAATTTTAGACTAGTAAGAACTCGACCATTAATTTCCTAATTTGCTGAATTATTACCAATTTCGTTTTACAAATTATAAATATCACCAGGAGTGTATCAATATTGATACACTCCTGATATCACGCATGCTTCAAATCGATGACAACAAGGGACGGAGAAACAATCGCATCAATCATTGTCTTTATTTGTTCATTGTTCGAATGCCATTAGTCATTATGTAAGTCGGAAAGTTGGACACCTCCTCCCACATGTCATTTGATGTTTGTTAGTGTTGACGTGTAAGTAACTGAACCAATGCTGTGGCGATATCTGACTCTGAACGAGACTTCCCGCGACTACATACTGCTTTTACGTCAGTAACACAGCTTATAGTCAGGCGAGGGGGGCACCGATCTTACCGTTTCAGCACCAGACGGCTGTCCCCCACCTTGCTGTGCACCCAAAACATTCTTTAAACTAGACTTGAAATACTCCATGATCGTCTTGCCGTCGTACACTTCCGCGCCCCTGGCAGCACTGCTTCGGATCCTCTAACTAATGTTAACAATAATATTGCCGCTACCTCGTCTAAATAGGCTTTAATCAAAACAAAACGTAGGTGCGTAGACTTAACGATACTTTAGAAAAAAGAAAGCTGGCATTCGATGCGGTTACTATATAAATATAATGCAATTTATATAGATTATTAATTCTCTCATAGCGAACGACGGTGTCGTGGCGATTGGACAGTGCTACCACCTAGTGGAAAGCAGGGCCAACTGCTCGGTACATATCAGCTGTTCGTTGTTACTTGCTGTAATGTTCATATTCCAGAAATGGAAATTATAAGATTTTTGTTCCTTGTTCGTTAACCTGTTCTCAGTTACATGCCGTAAAAATTTAACAGTGTAAACGCAGTATTGTAAGGTGCTAAAAACAATCGAAAACCTCTTTTACATCAAGTATGTTTGCAACTGAGACATCTCACACATCTAGACAATACTCTATGCATCTAGAAATCAACACAATTAGTTAAACAGTAATTTGGACACTTTATTAATCGGCTTACATATATACAAGAAAGGACTGCCACAAATTTTTTTTACGTCAATGCTACGGCCATCGCCAAAAATACATCAACAAACGAGTGATGCAGTACGAAAAGCCTTCTGATCATTAAACATCGATGCTATTGATCGTCTTCCACCCACCATCAACTCCCATAAAGGCACTTTATTCACGTAATCTGACCGTACATGCGCGTGGCTCACTTACGATATGACTTCCCTGTTATTCTCCACCCAGTAGAGGTAGAAGCTGGCGCATTTTAGACAGATACACACGCACATCGCCTTGCAGTACACCTGTAAGCTCAAGCTCATCTCGATCCTCATTAACCCGCTCTTCGCAACGTTAATTACAATAATAATTAGCAATTAATTAATAACCACAACGTAGCGTCAACTTTATATCTCTCCGTCTTCGATATAGTCCCTCGGACTTTGAAGACTAATATTTACGAGGTTACGAGGCGGCAGTGATCGACGAGTGATCAATGGCAATACGAATAAGCGTGATCAACGTGTGATCTAAGGCAATACGAATAAGCGTGATCACGTCTACAAGCATGCTGTTGAAAAACACCGCAAGTTGGAACGACATCAAGAATGTATAATATAGATCTCTATAGAATCGATATAGAATATATATATATTATACACTCCTGACAACACCATATGAATCTAAAATGCCATGTTCCCTTTGAAGTTAATTGACGTGCAACAGATATGACATTTTAAATTCGTCACGGTCATAACTGATAAAGCCAGCGGATCCCACCTTTACGAAAGACAAGGCCACATAGAACAATGAGCGCGAAAACCTCACTATATACATACATACATGCGTGCGCGGGATCTCATAATAACAACCCAGCATTAGTAGCAATGGATGGACACGCTGTAAATTCTACTGCTACGGAAAAAGCACACGAATTATAAAATTCTCGTTAGAAATCAAGCTCTCGTGTTTTGATATCGATGTTTTGACGCATTTACGACGTTGAATAACCGGATCCCCCGATTCACTTCGGTCGATACTAACGCTACGCATACAAACTCACTGGTATCTAAAGAAGATATGGTGTTTCTTGACCACCACTGGTCAAGCGCAATACAGACGGATGGAGCCTACCGCACACGAGGGGAACCAGCTCAGACAAAAGTTACTCGTGGCCAATTCCTCACACCGTTGAGCCATTTCCTCTCGCGGTTCGTAGACCGCACACGAGAGGAATCAGCTCAGCACTCTCCCCACAACTCATCAACAATAACCCATCATAGATCACGTGACCGAGCAAAATGTGCATTGCGCATGCGCACGATGCAGACGCATGCTCATTGGTATCGCGAGCGAGGAAACAGCTCAGTTCACCGCACACGGCGAGTTTTACGCCACGCGTGACCAAAAATATCAAGCACGTTGGATATTTGTCTCAACGGTACGAATGACTAAAACCTCACACAAATTTCCCCGCACACAGAAAGAAACGACTCAACACTGTGAGGAATAATTGGCCACGAGTAACTTTTGTCCGAGCTGATTCCCCTCGTGTTCGGTAGGCTTTAAAGCAGGGTTACCCGTAAGCAGACAATCCACCGAAAGTCGCCTCGAAGAATCGGCATCTAACTACTGCGAGCTCCGTCGATTTATATGATCGCGTACAATTGCACTGGACATGGAACGACAAATTCGATTTTTCACACTCTTTAGACGACTTTTGCAAAGCAATTAACCTTACGGAAAAAACATTTGATATTGTATGCATTTGCACGAGTGCATGAACCCGGATCAGACGAACTTATGAAAGTACGATTAACCACTCGAAGGAAAGTACACTAAACGTTTTGTAGAAGGTCAGAGTAGAAAGATCAGAGGTGAACGGTCAGCGTGTAAAAAGGTCAGTGTAAAAGACAGCATATAAGGTCAGAGTGGAAAGGTCAGTATGAAGAGGTCAGAGGACAAAAGTCAGAGGTGAAAGGTCAGCACGAAGAGGTCAGATTGAAAAGGTCAGCATAAACAAGTCAGAGTGTGTAAAGGTCAGAGTGTAAAGGTCAGAGTGTAAATGTCAGAGGGTAAAGGTCACTCGCTCACAAACGCACACACGTCCGTCACTCGTCGATCTTGATGAAGACCTTCGAGCGGGAGAAGATCTTGATGGCTTCCTCTATCTCTACGAGCTTCCTCTCTATGTCGACGTGCTGCTGCCGCGCGCGCAGCGTGTCCGAGCGGACGGGAAGCGCGTGAAGCTCCGTCAGCAGCTGGCTCTCCGCTGCAAGACACGGTGATGTGTGAGCACGTTAGCTGTTACTGTAGCAGGGGTAGAAATTAACTTTTGAACGGACTCCCTACCCTCAAAATAAGAGAGTCCGCAGCAAAATGAGGGAGTCCGCAGTCTGAGGTTCAAAATTAAAGCAATAACGCATGTGCTTATTTTGAAGATTCGTGCAGTTGCACGTCTGCCAAATTTTCTTTGGACATTAGCTGAAAAAATACAGTAATTCAGCGAGGCCGTGCTCCGGAACAAACTAGTTAGTAAGGCAGAATTTTCAGGGAGTCACACGGACTCCTGCATATGTCAAATCAGGGAGTCCGCTCTGGAATGAACTAGTTAGTATAGCAGAATTTTCAGGGAGTCACACGGACTCCTGCATATGTCAAATCAGGGAGTCCGACAGTAAATCAGGGAGTATTTGACTCCGGACTCCCGTTAATTTCGCACCCTGCTGTAGTGCTTATCCTAACAATAACTATAGCAGCCTCTACACGATGCTTAACCCGAGACAGCACTTAACCCGGGTTAGTTAACCCTCCTCACATCGTGCAGTTACACTGACCCGGGTTAAGACGTATCCCAGGTTAGTTAACCCTCCTCACATCGTGCGGTTACACTGACCCGGGTTAAGACGTATCCCAGGTTAGTTAACCCTCCTCACATTGTGCGGTTACACTGACCCGGGTTAAGACGTATCCCAGGTTAGTTAACCCTCCTCACATCGTGCGGTTACACTGACCCGGGTTAAGACGTATCCCAGGTTAGTTAACCCTCCTCACATCGTGCGGTTACACTGACCCGGGTTAAGACGTATCCCAGGTTAGTTAACCCTCCTCACATCGTGCGGTTACACTGACCCGGGTTAAGACGTATCCCAGGTTAGTTAACCCCTTCTCTCTCTTCTTCTCTCTCTCTCTTCTCTGCTCTCTCTCTCTCTCTCTCTCCTCTCTCTCTCTCTCTCTCTCCTCTCTCTCTCTCTCCATCTCGTCTCTCTCTCAATCCTTTCTCTCTCTCTCTTCTCTCTCTCTCTCTCTTCTCTCTGCTCATCTCTCTCTCGTCTCTCACTTCGGTCTCTCTCTCGTCTCTCGTCTCTCTCTGCATCGTCTCTCTCTCTGCGCCTCTCTCGCTCTCGTCTCATAATATATATACTACATTATAGTTACTGTAATGTATATATATATAATATATATAATATGTGAGTATATAATATATCATAATTAAGTCTGTATATCGCTACATATACTAGTATACTATACTTCCATTTGAATCTCACGCTCGCGTTTTCCGCTGCAGCCTCGACGTGGTTGACGCCGCTTGTTTTTAATTTTCTCCGCTCGCTCGACGCAGGCTCCGTTCGTCGTCTGCGAGCACCCGCGGCGATTCGCGGAGCTGCCGGTCGCTCGAGGCTGCAACGCGCAAAGGCGCCCCCTACCGACGAAGACAAGGAGAATCGCTGACGCCGCCAGATGAAAGCGGGGTCGCGGTGGCGCGCGGCTGTCCGCGAGGGAGAGGCCAGGCGGGGAGACGGCGACGACGCGCCGGACCTGAGGAGGAACCAACTCTGAGGTAGGGGGAAAGGTCGAGGGAGAAGGGAGGGGAAGGCTCTAGGGAGAAGGGAGGGGGAAGGGCTCTAGGGAGAAGGGAGGGGGTCCAAGGGTGGGAGAAGAGGTTCGAGGGGAGGGTGAGAGGAGGGAGGAGGATGGGGAGGGGTGAGAGAAGGGTCGAGGAGGAGGGATGAGAGGTGGGGAGGAGGAGGGTTGAGGGGGAGGGGTGAGAGGTGGGAGAGGAGGGTCGAGAGGGAAGGGAAGGTCAAGGGTGGGAGAGGAGTTGAGGGGGAGGGGAGAGGTGTGAGGAAGGAGGGTCGAGGGGGAGGGAAGGTCAAAGGTGGGGGAGGAGGGTCGAGGGGGAGGGATGAGAGGTGGGAAGAGGAGGTCGAGGGGAGGTGAGAGGTGGGAGGAAGGTAGGGTCGAGAGGGAAGGGAAGGTCAGGTGGGAGGAGGAGGGTTGAGGGGGCGGGGAGAGGTGTGAGGAGGAGGTCGAGGGGGAGGGGAAGGTCAAAGGTGGGAGGAGGAGGATCGAGGGGAGGGTGAGAGGTGGGAGGAGAGGGTCGAGGGGAGGGGTGAGAGGTGGGAGGAGGAGGTTGAGGGGAGAGGTGGAGGAGGAGGGGGAAGGGGTGAAGGTGTGAGGAGGAGGGTCAGGGAGGGGAAGGGTCAAGGTGGGAGAGGAGGGTCGAGGGGGAAGGGTGAGAGGTGGAAGAGGAGGGTCGCAGGGGGAGGGGTGAGAGGTGGGAAGGGTGCGAGGGGGAGGGGTGAGAGTTGGGAGGGGAAGGTCACAGGGGGGGAGGATGCATCGAGGGGGGTGGAGGAAGGGAGTGTTGTTGAGGGGGTGGGAAAGAGTAGTGTCGAGCGGATGAGACTGAGAGGTATGATGGTTTGGGGAATGATACACTATGTACAATGATGTGTGGGTACGTGCAGCAAAGCTGGCTGCTTGGGCTTTAATTTGAACGACCTGGTTAAATGGGTTCGGGCACTGTGTCGGTCTTTGCAGGCGACAACTCGTACCGCACGTGCCGAGTCCGACTTTATCAAAGTGAACGCTATGGCGGCGTTCCGTGTGCCGGCAATTCCAGCGCCCACTGTCTGTCACAACGGATAGAGGCGGCGAGAAGAAAGAAGCGCAGATGCAGACTGAAATTCGACCAGTTTCCCAGAAGGCTCTGTACACCAAGTAGTACGTAGAGAAAATCTTTCTGGGCACACACATGCATGGCACACTGCAGCATGCAACAAACGCGCACGCGTGGCAGGGACGAAGGTATTTGTAAAATTTTTAGGTAGATGATGATAACTCGCCAGACACAGTTGTAGAACCGGACCATGGTCTCACACTCGTCAGGCCCACGCTGCACGCATCCGCTGGCCCCGGGTTCTTGAACGTCACGACTGCAGGAAGCTCTTCCGCCTCTGCGTACTTCTGCACTAGCATCGTCTCCTCCGCGTCAGCACACTGACCTTCAGTTTCTC